TCGTGATTTTTCCCGCAGAAGAAACGCCGAAATTTCCCACAGGAAATAGAAAATTAAATCATAGGAAATTCCCACGATTGTATGTAAATATTCATGATTAGAACGGCAAGTTTTTTCATAGTAATCGACCAACTTTCAGCGGAACATATAGAAATCCGTTAGAAGTTAACGACCAATGCGCAAATCGTCGTCGTTGTAAAAAAAAAATCACAGATTTCCCAGAATTGTGAAAGGTTTTTTTTTCTACACATCTCTTACTGTTTCAAGAAAATCCAATTGATGCCATGTTTACGTGTGTGGTAATAAAACGCAAAAGTTTTTGCTTCCGTGAATCGAACAGCGTTCTTACTTCTTGTTCTAATTTTCGCTTTTCTACCCTGGATAAGGAAGTTTTGAGCATGTTTTTCGAAGCTTTTGGCGGTTAATCGGCGTTGTTGAAACAATCGGGAGCGACGGTGGCGAAACCTCATCAGTTTCTGGCTGAAAAATTTCAGACAATTCAATGAAGCGGGTACTGCAAGCAGTGATTACAATGAAATTGGTGCTCTGAATAACCAGGAAGCCCAACAAACTCCTTTTTTTTTCAAAAGGAAAAAAAAAATGAGGCGGAAACGGTATTAGGATCCTTCTTTTGCCCAATTTTGAATTCGCACGCTGTTCTGGAAACAAAGCAAAATCGAGTCGAACAAAAGCGAGCCGTTTTTGCCAGAGTTTATTTTATTTAATGTTTCTCCTTTCTTGCTCTCTTGAAGCCTTTTTTTGAGCCGAGTAAAGTTTACTGAACCGCAGTGGAAATTTCCGTTCACCGCTTCCACTTCCAACTTCTTCCGTTTCCCGTTTTTCAGGTGATGTTCGGAAATGACTTCCGATGCTCGCTGCAAAGATTTTTGCACCGGAGTGGAAAAAAGAGAAACCTGCCGGGTATAGTTCCGTGAATTTGCATTCGAGGCTTTAAAAAAAAATCGAAACAATCTGCTTTTTGAACTCGTAATGCCAAGGAAATTTTGGCCAAATCAAGAAAAAAAGAGATGTTTCAAATCCTCTGCTGGTCATTCTATTTCTATATACTGTAATCAGATCACGGAAATTGTTCTTTTTCTTTGGCACAGACGAATATTTGAAATTACACGTTTTTTTAGAGTCGATGTTTCCAAATTTAAATTTTCGTGAAATTGATGCCACCTTTTGTGACTTATTGTCGTGTCAAAGAAAACATGTTGGTTGATTTCGATCCTCAATTTTAGGTAACTGAAGTACTTGCATTTTGTAAGAATTGGGTTCGAGTGTTGCTCACGTTAGTCACGTATGGTCAAATAGGTTCTTTTGCAGCTTTTCAATGTCTTCCAGATTGAAATACTGTACAGCCCAAGATTGTTAATGATGAAGATGTCACTTCTGTCAAAAAAAACTTTAAAACTACTGCTGGGGGCGATTAAAAGACAATGAAAATTCAATCACAACATTTTCGTTCGTACAAGCACACAACATACGCACAGACTCGTAAATCACATAAATTGAATACAACGCAAGTCTTTGGAATGAATTCTCAAAATTTTATATCATACATAATTCATACGAAATACGATTTCACAAACGTTGCAGCGATTTATTTTTCCGTCTCCGTCCGAGGGTTATTTCAGGCTCTTTGGAATGGAAATACCCGACAAAAGCAGCACTCGATCGAGTCTCGGAAAAAAATTCGTCTTGAAATGGTAAATAATTTTATTCATTAGAAAAATCTGTACTAAAACTTTTCATGTTAAAGATCGGATTCCAATTCAATAATCCAAGGATTCGTACTTCAATCATCATTCAGTTGAATGTTATCACCATTAAACTATTTGCTTCAAACCCTGAGGTTTGAAATGGGCTTCATATGCAGACCCAATAAAGAAAATTAAATAAAATATTTTTAGAAAAATTTGGGCGAACTGCGTGATTCCTGACTCGGTGCACAAGCAAGATATATGAACTGGGGTTTTATGCCTCTTTAATCAGTTTTGTTTCAAATTTTTCCTACCAGCTGCGAATGGAAGACTTTCAAGGCAAGCTTTCCGACGCGGAGAATTTAAACGTGTCATAATTATTGAATAATGCTGATGTTCAAGTCGTGTGCGTTCTCGACACTCATTTTCATTTTTTTTCGTCTATCTCCGCTAGTCGACAAAGAACTGCGTACTTTGATTTATACCACAAGGAACTTTTACGATCGAAAGCAGATTTTTTTTTTATGTAACGGAGAGTAAAACGAAAAGAGAAAAAAATTGAAAGAGCAACCGTGTCGGATCGAAAATGAAGCGGCACAATGGACCTGCGCCGAACCAAGGAAACCATTTGCATGATGAAAA